CCTTCTAACCATTCAATCGGAAGGTATAATCACTTGTTGTGTGACCCATAGGGCCTTATATATTAAGCATTAATCAAATTAAGGTCTTAGTAGAATCCCTAGACGATTTACCAGACAAACTTAATATATAAGGACGTTTGCGAGGACTATTCAAACTCCCTGTAATATAGAGCTCATAATGATACGGTCCTTTCATTCAGCGAACATTCAACTAAGTCTAGAACATGATATTGTGTCTATTCCAATAACTTAGTTTCTGTCTCTCAATCTTTCTGGATGATCCATAACGATCATATTCGATATCCAAAACGAATATATCTTTGCATTGGCCAATGACTTTATGATCCATCTAGATATGAGAAGTAGAATGTTCTCTCTTAATCTATTATGAGGAATGAATCCTTTCTTGGCTCAACTACTACTCCATGTGCTTCGTGATGCACCCAACACATGCTGTATCTACCCCGATTGGAGTGCAAGTGTTGGTCATGGTCAAAGTACATCACTCCGCACATGTAGTACGTATTGACCTCAAGTCGGAGGACTATTACAGCACTCTATAAGCCGATAATCCCATAGACACATGAATAGAACTTATCAAATGGTTTCTCGGTGGGTATGCCAATATTCTCTAAAATATCTATGTGGCCATCATGAATTACAGGAACTCATAGTTGTGAGATCAACTGTACTTTCTAAAAGTATGAAGCAGTCCACATACCAATCTTATCGCATATCATCAATATCCCATTCTTGATGATCATTGATTGGGGCTATTTTAGGACCTTATGTTATATCATATAAGCTCCCACTAACTCATTGACAACATAAGTCCAAGGGAACACAATTATGAATAAGATATTAACAATCGAAATACTTAATCATCAATGTGTAATACCGTATATATCAAATATATAAAACTGAATGTGATCAAGTACATATATCTTTAAAAAATGATTGTCGCTAGGACATATATACTAACAGTAAGGACCATGGCAATGACCATGGCAACGTAAATCCATATCACAACAAGGACCATCTTATGCAGCACGATCGGCCCCTCAGCGGCATCGTGTCTAGTTCGTATTCGACGATGGCAATGTAAGTACCATGGCATTGACCATGGCAACATAAGTCCATATCACAGCCAGGACCATCTTATGCAGCACGATCGGCCCCTCAGTGCCATCGTGTCTAGTTCGTATTCAACGATGGCAATGTAAGGACCATGGCAATGACCACGGCAACGTAAGTCCATATCACAGCAAGGACCATCTTATGCAGCATGATCGGCCCCTCAGCGCCATCATGTCTAGTTCGTATTCAACGATTGCAATGTAAGGACTATGGCAATGACCATGGCAACGTAAGTCCATATCACAGCCAGGACCATCTTATGCAGCACGATCGGCCCCTCAGCGCCATCGTGTCTAGTTCGTTTTCGATGATGGCAATGTAAGGATCATGGAAATGACCATGACAACGTAAGGACCATCTTACGCAGCACAATCGGCCCCTCAGTGCCATCGTGTCTAGTTCACGCGGTCGGGCTCGTCGATCTCTAATCTGTGATGGTGACCGCCGCTTTATGCCGCACACACGGATTTTCAGCACCGTTGTGCCTACTTCTTGGTCGGGCTAGTCTGTCTCTAACTTGAGATGGCGACCACCGCTTTATGCAGCACGAGCGGCTGGCTCTTCAGCGTCGTCGTGCCTGTTCTCCATAGGGCTCGTTGATCCTTAATCTAGGATGGCGATCGCCGCTTTATGCAGCACGAACGGATAGCTCTTCAGCGCCGTCACGTCTTCATCTCGGTCGGATCCACCCCTGCCATTAAGGGTCAGGACCGCCGCTTTATGCACCACGGTCGCCCTCTCAGCACTGTCGTGTCCAGTGCAGGGAATGTATTTCATATCTCACTTATAAATGCCTTGCATCCGAGACTATTTGAAGATACTGATTCAGAGAAGGCAAGGAGGGGCGCGAGCAAGAGTACACTTTCTCGAGTAGATTCGCAGGCTCACTACTCAAGAAACTGAGGGACTTGTGTTGGGGAGTATTATCCCGACCTACTACTGTTCAGAGGCCCAAGACATCACCCCGTATGAAGCCCAGTCAACGAGGCCCATTTAGGCCCACCTGGCCCGTTGAGAGCCATTTAAGCCCACTCGGCCAAACTGTCCATCTTGGCCCGTTAAGGCCTGTCTGGCCCATTAGGCTAGAAAGCCCCCACCCCCTTCTATAAATAGGAAGCTACGCTTCCATTTAAAGGGGCTTGGTTTTTTAGCTCTTCTTTCCTGGGAGCTCTTCTCCCTGCTGCTGCTTCCTCTTTTGATGAGAGTTCCATTAATGGGGCTTCAACACTTGTATATGTATTTTGGTGAGGAGAGTTATTGAAAAAGAGCGGACTTGGACGTTAGCCTAAAAAGTCCCGTGGTTTTCTCCCTTTCCGGGTTTCCACGTAAAAATAGAGCATTTCATACGTATTATATTTATATTTATTAGTTTATGTTGGACTAAACTCAACCGACAACTTCTTACTCTGCATCCCACAATGTTAATTCCAAGAGTCTTTTTGTTCTCCCATTAATGATATGGGTTTGCACAGGTAGTTTGCCCAAAAACTTTCCAATAACGTCTTAACATTCATGACTAAATAATTTTACCATAGAGATATTTTTTATGGAAATAGGAAAAAAATATTTTTGCATAAAGATTTTTACCAATAACTAGCTTGTCATTGATGATCGTTTGAGCTTGCAGCATCTCAAAAGGTTGAAAATCACACATAGGATTGAAAGTCTATGATTTCATTCTTAACATGGGTTTTGCTTATAAATTGAATAAGGTATGGGTGATTGGTTGTTTTGAAAGTTTGGTAGTTATCAACCACCAAAAAATTTTGATACCATAGACTGTTTTTTTTTTTAATTTTAGACTTGAAAAATCGTAGTTGGGGTCTCTTGACAGTAGCATGAATCCGAGTTCCCTATACAAAAAATGAAACGTTTAGATTCAACTGAAAATACTTAACACTAATCAATAATGAAAATCCCAGTATACAGTCACACGGTTTACCACTGCATCATGAAAACCAATTCAATTGTGTTACCCCCCTTAGCATGGATAGGAACCTCATAAGCCCTTATGACTCTGACTTTTACTGCCCATGTTGTTTTCGTGTGATCAACATCATCAAGTAGTGACCACATGTCTGTGTTTGCATCTGCCTCAGCCATTGTAGTAAAGTTCTTATAGTTGTTATAGTAGTTATATGAGAATGTTCAAGTCTTAGGTCTTTATATACTACATTCATCCCAAATTGATTTGCAAATTTGACTTTTCTTGGTCAAACAGTTTCATTTTATTCGCTTAATTAGGATGTCAAATTTTAATTATATTCTAATTTGGAGTTTACAACTTTGAAGATATTTTAATGTAGCTTCTAAATATGTAAATTTTAATTATTAAAAATTGAATTAATTATCGATAGGGAAAATTGACTTTTATTATAGGTTGACAAAAAATGTTGACTTTGCAAAACAATTTGAGATGGAGGGAGTAGTAAAATAAGGGAAGGTCTCTCAGTTGAGTCTGTTTTGACCAGTGGTTATTAACTTCAACACAATCTCTTGGAAGATATTTTCTTACTCGCCATTTAATGCTCTATTGAGGCATGCAAAAGATTTGTTTTAAACTCTTGGTTGATAATTCAGATGTTGTGTTCCAGACAATAAAAATACTCCCCCCGTTCTAAAAAGGTTGGCCAAAGTTGATTTTCACGTGGATTAATAAAGTAAAAACTATGTAGTTGAAATTTGTGCAGAGGAGAGAGAATTAATTTTAACCACATATTCCTTACTTTAAATGTAAATGATAAATCTTTTTGGGACATCCAAAAAAGGAAATTTGACCAATCTTTTCGAGAAAGAGAGAGTATTAAATAGTACAATTGCATTAAAGAGTTTTCGAAATGAACTGATCAATACATGAATTGAGCCGCCAAAGTGACCAAACGAAACATTTATTGAGCTTCATTTTATTGGAGCAATACAAAGCATTAATTGCATGCATTGAGCGTCAAAAAGATATCAATTCTTAGTACATATGAATTGACTATCTGAACCAAAATAGGAGAACCAAACCATTAATCAACCCATAAAGACTGACCCCACCCACCAATGGAGCAACGTTTTGGGCGGGAAAAATGGCCTCTTGCTTTTGTATAAAGAAATACTTTATGATAAGACTAAAAGAAATGTCATTTTCATTTAGCTCAGTGGCGCAAAGGCTCTCACCTACGGTGGAGTAAGGGAGTCGGATGTACGTAGTCTTATCTTTGTACTAAAGCACAGAAAAACTGTTTCCGGATGACCCATAGTGAAAATCGCGTTCAAAATTGCATGGACTGACTGCTACTCCATAACAAAAAAACGCAGACAGTTTAGTGAGCAATTTTGCTTTATTCCATCATAATCTCAAGCAAAAAAATAATGAATCTTTGGCTCCATTGCAAATGATGGAAAAAAGACCAAAAGAAATGTGAAATGACAAAAATCTTTTGAATTCCAATGCCACAATACATTACTCTCGTATCCTAGTTGACCCCGTTTTTGGTCATTCTCGGCCCATATCTTTATTATACAGCTTTAACACCCAATTCAAAGGAACATTAGACAGAACACAGTTTTAACCTACAAATAATTTAATGTGACCCTTTTTGAGAGGAAAAATGACCAAAAAATCCACTTGTTTATATACTCCCTCGGTCCCGTAATTAACTTCTCAATTCGATTTCACACATATTAAGGAAATAAATTTACTGGAGGTAAATTTCACTGTTTCGACACTGTTTTGCACTATTTTGGTGTAGATAATTTGTCAAATAATGAAGTGAAAAGAAATGAGAAGTTAATTTCGGAACTGTACAAAAGGAGAGTGGGAAGTTAATCCCAGGACCGAGGAGTATATAGGTAGATAATATTTCTCAAATCTTGAACATGCACCTCCATTGTGTACAAAATTAAATTATTGAATGTTGGTAGAGAGTGGACCATCAAGACAGATTCCATAGCCAATTGGGTTAGCTGTCAGGTAGGCAAGTTCAACTCAAACTCGGACGGTCAAAGTCAAGACGCGTATTCCTCCTTGGAACACTAACAGCGATTCCAACTCCTCCCTTCCTGTATTGGGTTGATTTCTCTGCGGCTGGCGGGCGGGCGGGCGGGCAAGCGCTTCTATTTTTTTCTTCCAACCGGAAGACAAATATCTGTCCTTCCCGAAACCCTATCACCGATCTATCCGCTTCGACTCTCCGCGTAGATTTGAATCGCTGGGAGGAAAAAGGGGAGAGGCGGTGGAGATGAAGCAGGATGGAGGGTTTGTGTCCGATGAATTGTTGGGTACGTTCGTGCCCATAGCGGTGTACTGGATGTATTCAGGTCTATATCTGATGCTCGGAGGATGGGAGAATTACAGGCTGCATTCTAAGAAGGATGAAGACCAGAAGAACTTGGTCTCCAAGAAAGATGTCGTCAAAGGTGTCCTCCTCCAGCAGGCCGTGCAAGCTTTCGTTGCCACCATCCTCTTTGCGGTACGTTTTGCACTACCCAATTGGCTAACTTTGACCTTAAACTGTTTGGTAAAGCTTCTTTAAGCTCATGTGTAAATTTATTAATCAGGCAGTAGTTTTGACTTTTAGTCATATTTAATCAAAGCAATCAAGCTAGGATTGATTGATTTGTATCTGATTCCTAATAACAACGATTAACCATAATCCTGACCTTTATGTGATAAATATGCGTGCTAATTTGGTGTTCTGTCAGAGGAGAAGAATTTAAGGTTTATGTGGTGTGGCAAATTAGCAATTATGATTTCCTCATTTAAGATTTTTTGTTTTGTTTCTTGATTTGTTTTGTTTTGTTATTTCTAGGGTGTGTTGGTTTTGAATTTAATGTTTTCCATTAGTAATACTCCGTATAATTTTATTATCTTATGAATAATAAGTCCATGCCTATAAAGTTTCCATGTTTCTTCAAGAGATTTCTCAAAATGGACTAAAATAACTGGATATCTATATGGTCGTTGTTTTGCCTCTATCCAGTTTTCGCTAATGGTGTTGGTTTGTGTTGGTATTTTATGTTACAATTGGTCCTGGGGTGGAGCTTGTTCAACTAGCAAACATGTGTGAGCTATGAACCCAAATGCAGTTAGATGTGACTGTGGTGTTGAGTCATTTTGGTTGTACACATGTATTTGGAAAACATTTAGATACAATATTGTTCACAGATCTGAAACAAAAGCTTGTTTTTAATCAGTTTATGTCTGTGACCAGTGACTTAGGAAAACGTTATTTCTTGGAGGGTTGAGTTTATGTCTTGATAAATAGATTATAGATTATTTTCAAAAATGATTAAAAGGTGATTTATATGTTGTGTCATAATTTATTAGGTTATTTCTTTCAATTTATAAAATCTGAAGTATTTATCAAGAAATAGATCTGGCCCTCCAAAACCTTCCCCTTCAATGCCCTTATGTTGTGTTTGGATTGACCTGAGTAAAGGTAATAAATGAAAGTGTAGTGGGGTTTTATTAATGGAAGCAAAGTGGAAGGAATTGAAAATGTGTACTCATATTTGGGGGTAGGGCAGGAAAGTATCCATTCTTACAAGTTACACCCCTAATATGAATTGTCAGAAAATTTCATTTCTGTATTCCAATCCTCTCTTAACAACATAACTCCCAACTCTTTCAATTCTATTCCATTGAATAGCCCATGTTCATCCATGTAAATAGACTGTTGAGGAATAACCGAATAAGACGTGCAACTTCTTGAGATAGTACATTTTGAATTACTATGATTGGCAAAATTTCATTTGGATGCTATGATTTTTGCAATTCTCATTCCATGTTGCTTTACTTGAAGATTATTTCCTTCATATAAAGTTTCACTCAATTGTTGTTTTGATCTATCATGGCATTGGGATTCATTTGCTTTATAACAGCAAAATCTTTTTAAGCCCTTTAATGATGTTTATGACCATTTCAAACCTCTCATTCTTTAGTTGGACCTATTGAGCACGTCAGAGGCTAAGTTAAGTTCCATTTGACCCTAGTCATGCTCTCAACTAAGAATAAAATATGTTTCAGTGACTTTGTCGTATTTCTGATGCGGAATACATACTTCATGATCAAATGTCTTGTGATGTGATTCACTGATGAAAAGTTAGATAAACATTTAAAGGGCTTAAAGTGATTACAAACGCACTACACAAGTGGTTCTTGTTGTACTTGAAGTGATTAATCTTGGCTTGGTTCTAGCTACAAAACAAACAAACAAAAATTGATTCCTGCAACATATTCATCTGCATGGATTTGTTTATCTAATGAAACAATACATGAAGCAGGTGACGGGGAGTGACAGTGTGGAAGCTACAGAGCAGCAGACATCACTCCTTGTTCTTGCCCGCCAATTCATCATCGCAATGGCAGTACTCGACACGTGGCAATACTTCATGCACAGGTACATGCATCAAAACAAGTTCCTCTACAAACACATTCACTCTCAACACCACCGTCTCGTGGTCCCCTATGCTTTCGGGGCTCTGTACAACCACCCGCTCGAGGGCCTGATCCTTGACACCATTGGCGGCGCTTTGGCCTTCCTCGCCTCAGGCATGTCCCCGCGCACCTCAACCTTTTTCTTCTCTTTTGCCACCATCAAGACTGTCGACGACCACTGTGGGCTGTGGTTGCCGGGGAATCTTTTCCACATCTTTTTCAACAACAACTCTGCTTACCACGACATTCATCACCAGCTTTTTGGAACAAAATATAATTACTCCCAGCCGTTCTTTGTGACCTGGGACAGATTACTCGGGACCTACATGCCATACACGATAGAGCCAAGGGAGGGTGGGGGTTTTGAAGCCAGGCCTCCTACTACTAGCAAGGATTGCAAGGAGAATTGACTGAATTTGCTTGTTACATTTATTGCTCTGTATTCTTTTTCTAGTTACAGATTTTGTGTGGCCACACAATTTTGTGCTTTTTATTTGTTCAATGTTTAGTGACATTATTTGTACATATCTATGTGTTCACATATGTTAGTGTATAATGAGTTGCTTTAGCATAATACAACACGTATTCATGATTGATAAATGGTTTTAGTTTGCTAATATTCATGTGATGTGTTTGCTGCCACTTTGCTTCATTCATCTGTACTGCTGTACATCGTTTCTTAGCAAAACAAACGACTCCTTAGACGTTTGTTGATTAAAAGATGATTCTGTTTTCCCCTAAGTTCGTTACCAGAAAGGCAGAAATTCCAGAAAAGGGTTTCCTTTGTTTGGGCGATTGGTTTGCTTAAAATGATTTTTTTCCCTTTTGGAGGACCCCTTTGGAGAAATTCATATATGGCCATTTTTTGTATTTTTACAAATTATCGTTAATTCGTTAATCATTTCAAAAATGTGTTCACTCATATATGTTGTCATATCAAGAGTCGAGGCTTTCCAAATTTTAGAAACATAGTATGGAATTTTTTATACTTCGTATCTCAGCATCTCTTGGTCATTATCATGTGTAAATTTTTTATGCTTCCTACCTCCAAAGTAGGGTGGACTCGGGCCGGGTCGGGGCCGGGCCGGGCCTAGGCCCGGTCGGGCCGGCGGTCCTATATAGCTGGACCCGGGACCGGCCCGGGTAGCCACTGGGTCCGGTCCGGGCCGGGCCGGGCCGGGCCTCGGGTTTGGTTATTTTTTTTTTTTTTTTGCTTAGCTACCCATCCCTGACCCCCCCCCCCCACCCCCCAAACCCCTCCTAAACATCAAGCCCAACCCGGTGGAGCCCAAACAAATGAAAAAAACCAAAAAAAAAAATAAATTTGGCCCGAACCGGGCCTGGCCGGGCCTTGTTATGGGTGACCCGAGCCCGGACCGGAAACCCACCGGGTCGGGCCTACCCGGACCGGTCACTGACCGGGCCACCGGTTCGGGCCGGGCCGGAACAGTGCCGGTCCCGAGCCGGTTCCGGGTCAGGCCACCCGGCCCGAGTCCAACCCTACTCCAAAGTCTTAACTTCTTTATTACTCCCTCTGATTCTAAATAAATTTCACATTTTGACTTCACACAAATTAAGGAAATAAATTTGACTTTAATGTAGAGTACACTGTTGTGACACTGTATAGCACTGTTTGGCACTGTTTTGATGTAGATAATTTGCCAAATAAGGAAGGGAGAAGAAGTATGAAATTTATTTTGAACATATCCAAAAAGCAAAGTGTAAAGTTTATTTAGGACTGGAGGGAGTATTATACTCCATAGTCCGTACTTCTCATATTGTTATATCCTATTCATAGATATTTCCTTTTGGCAATTGGTATTACAAAATTTATATAAAAGAAATATTATGCATATATACACATAATATGTAAACTAAATATTTCATTTGGGAGCTGCACCGGCACAAATATGGATGGACTCGGGCCGGGTGGCCCAACCCAGAACCGGCCCGGGACCGGCACTGTTCCGGCCCGGCCCGACCCAGTGGCCCGGTTAGTGACCGGTCCGGGTAGGCCCGACCCGTGGGTTTTCCAGTCCGGGCTCGGATCACCCAAAACAAGGCCCGACCCGGTGGTTACCCAGGGTGGTCCCGGGTCCACCACTCCTGAACCGCCGGCCCGCCCGGGCCTAGGCCCAACCCGGACCCGGCCCGGACCCAAGTCCACCCCTAGGCACAAATCTAGTTAACAACAAATACATTCACTTTCTTACCAATGAAGTAATGCAATTTGTATCGATCTTTACTCTTCAGATGTTTTTCTCAATGTGATTAAGCAACTCCTCCGAGGGGGTTAGATTATGTATGGAACTGAATAACACCAGTTAGGCACTTAGGCTATGTTTGGATCTCATGAATGTTAGGAAAGAGGATGAAGATGCTAAGGAAAGATGTTCACTTATGATTGTATTCACCTGGAAAATATAAAGGAAAACGAAATATAATTAATGTTTTAATTTTTTACTATGCCATTGCATAATATTTATATAATACACGTGAACAAAAAAATTAACAAAAAAAATATTGACATTTGAACTGATATTTTATTTTCCTCAACATTTTCTCTTTCCAAATATTTCCATTATTTTCCTCCCTATCATTTTTCTCCTTTCCAAGCTGACCCTTGAGGAATTACTTTAACAGGAATCTATTCAAATCTAAAAGAATGTACCAAGCGTCCTCTTGAAGCATGAAGATGTTACATAGCTACATTTATTATCTATAGTTTCTGCAACAATAAACAATATGTTAAGGATACAGACCTCCCAAAGCAATTCAACCGCTATAATGGATCAAGAATTCTTCTAGTAAAATAGCATTGGCAAGGTTCCAGGCACGCAATAAGCCCCATTGATTGCATCAGGCGGTCGTCCTAATATTTCATTGTGCTGATGTGGAATTATTGTCATTCAAAGTCCAGTACCGTTTGACTGCAACAAGTATTTTCTCAGGAACAAGGGGCCCATCTTCATGGTCGATTAGTCTGTATTCCCATCTCATCCCTAGTATGATCTTCTTCACCTTGTTCAGCATGTCCACTTGGTCCCTGAAAATGACTGCGCCCTCTGGCCTTAAAATTCTGTCCATTTCCAACAGAATGTCTTCAAAATCACACCTGTAATTATGGTATACTCAAATGTAAATGTATAATCAAGAACTTCCAGTGTATAATATGTCTTCAAAAACCATCTAGCTCTTTCTAATTACAAAAATGCGACTTCTTTTTTGGGACAGGCGGAGCAGGAAAGAATGCATACTTTTCCTTGTACAAGCTAAAAACGTCATTAGCATGAAGGAGATCATAAGTCCTCGGGTATGTAGAGAAGGCTTCACACCTGAATCAAAAGAAAACTATGAGCAAACAGAAGCCTTGTCTTTTTCAAGTACTAATAAAATTAGAAGTAAATTGATCACTTTTTATAGGGCCCCTTGGCATCTTATGGGCATTGTTGTGGTCTTGCGAAACTGCTGAGCTAAATAGCTTTTCACCGCAGCTTTAATACCTTACGTGAGTTGAGTTTAATTTTATTTATTTTGGTTTTTGACATTTCATTTTTCTTTTTGCACTTTAACTCGAAACTGCTCCATCATTTGCAATTGAGCCAAAGATTCAATATTTTATGGCTTGAGATTATGATGGAATAAAGCAAAATGGCTCACTAAACTATTTGCGCTTCTTTGTTATGAAGCAGCAGTCAGTCCATGCAATTTTGGACGGGATTTTCACTATGGGTCATTCGGAAACAGTCTCTCTGTGCTTTAGTACAGGGGTAAGACTGCGTACATCCGACCCCTCCCTTACCCCACCGTAGGTGAGAGCCTTTGCGGCACTGGGTAAATGAAAATGATGAAATGAAAATGATGACTTTAACTCGAAACTCTTTTTTTAACTTTTCATACCACCTTCGTCCACTAAACATCGCCAACTTCTTTATTTGGTTGTCCCAAAAACTGTCACTTTCCCTTTTAAAATAACTAATTTTTGGATAATATTATTATTCTCTCCTATGCACACAATTCAATAACACAACTTTTACATTCTTATTCCGTGTGTCACACTTGGCAAAGTTTTTCGTGAAAACAATAAATAAGGGATAAAAATTCTATTGTTTGGTTAGTGGGAACTGAACTTATTTTGAGTTTAAATTCCAGTGTTAAATGCAAAGACTGAAATGCTACGTAGTAGTCATACATGCGGTTCCACTCTTGTTTAGGGGTAATAACTAAAAATGTCTCATTAAGTTTGAGTGGCATGGAAAAAACAACACCATGGTTAGGCAGGTGAGGATGGCTTTTCCATTAATGAGGGAAAAAATGTTCCCAAGGAAAAAAAATTACTTTGTACCAATCATCAGGATTTCACTTGTTACAGAATTGATGGGGAGAAACTTTATTCACGTGTACCAAATAACTCGTTTAGTTTGAAAACAAGATATAAAATGCGTAGTTGTGCTTCATCTGAAAGTTCTAGACACTAAACCCACTTTCACAACTAGCTTTACTTTCTACTATGGTCGGAAATGGTTGGGATGAACGGTGTTAGGTTTCTGGGGTAAAGACAAACTTGTCCCTAGTTCCAGATCGGCCATCTTTTTAGACGGGCCGGATTTCTAATTTCCTGTTTTGGACCAGAAAAGCATTACAGGACGCTGGCCCAAACCAATTATGGTTCCTACGCTTCCATTTTATAAAAATGCTAAAATACCAGTCTGGAACTGACTAAATAACTGGACCTAAACTGACCAAAAAACTGGTTTCCACCCATAAAATGACCTGCAATCAGAACCAGACATGTTATAAGAGAATAGAGAGAGGGGCATAGAGACTCACCAGTCATGGTATATGCCAATCATCCCTCGTTCATATATAACACCCAAAGTATTTCTCTCAGCAATTTTTGGAATGACATTCATAACCCATTGCCTGGGAGATGTGAGTTGGGCAGCAAAACCTCCTAATTCTGCATTCATATCCATAATGTTGCGATACCTTCCAGAGTCGATCATTTTGTTCACTCTTTTGTATGCGTTAACATGCTTCTTCCACTTCTTGTTGTCTTCCAGATATGCCTGAACTGACACTCCCATGACCAACCCACTAGCAATTCTAGGGGGGACACTGTTAAGCCTCTCTGGGAATCGTTTGAGACTCTCATCAATCTTAGTCTTGGGAGATGGAGTTATGCAAGCCTCCATTTTCTTATACCTAATAAGAAATTCATGGAATAAAAATACAAATCAATATCTTCCTAAGAAAATAAACCAATTCCACGGAAAATGAATTCGTGATTGGAAAATACAAATCAATTTTTCCTAATAACAATTTTAACTGTGGATATGTTACGCGATGGTGAAGCTAGGCGGGGGTTTAATTTGATTCAGGAAACCCGGCTGAAAATGAAGACGAATGGCCTGAATATCGGACATGTCAAGCGCGAAGCCAATTGGACAGCTCACTATTTGGCCTGGGAACAAACGGGCTTAACTCAAAAGTTTCTTGGCCCAACTGCACTTCCGGCCCGTGCTAGGAGAGCCTTTTATATGGATAAATTTAGCATTCCCTCTATTAGATGGTAAATTATTGTTGTTGGCCTGATTTCTGTACTTCTTATCTGAGAGGCTTTGGTTTGGTCCTCCTCTCTTTTGTTTGCTTGCTCTTTTAATAAAATATCGGTAAATGACTCCTGGCATTTACCCCACTGATTTTGGTGGTTGGCCTTCCGGGATAAAAAAAACAATTTTAACCAATAGCTGCTTATTCTGTTGATAAACGTAACAAGAAGCTGAATAAGCCAGAACTCTCTGCCAATGAGAGCCTTAGATTGACATACCAGACATCATCTGGATCTGTAGATTGACAAAATGCAACTCCAGCCTTCTTTTGAGCAGCTTGACATGAGTCAACATCCGTTTTCTTCTGCCAGATTGCAATTTCACCCTTCTCAGATTTCTTCTCCCAACAGAGATGCTTAGCAATTTCTTCAATTTTTCTTTGCTCCTCTTGGAGTTCTTTCTTTGGACGTTGCCAGGCTTTGTAGTTAGTCTTCCAATGGATAGGTGGGCCAGAAAGCACCCAATAGCCCCCGGGCCTAAGAACTCTATCCACTTCCATCATTAGGATCCCACCTAGTGATGGAGGAACAATTGGTCAAAAGTCAAAACTCAACTCATATATGAAATCTAAACATGAACCTAATGAAAAGAGAAAACCATAACACTATCAAAACTAAGGATGTTTTAATTGGACTGGTTTCAGTCCCACGCCAGACTTAAAATGATCGCACAAGACTTAAATAGACCGGACCATATTATACCAGACCAGATTAAACTTTGACAATTGTAAAATACACATCGAACATACATCTACCAAAGTAGAGCAGACCAGAAAATTACAGTCCAATTAAAAACATTTTAAGGTTACAATAATCTATAATTAATTTTATACTTTAACAGAAGCAAGGTTGCAATAATCTATAATTAATTCTATATTTTAACATAAGTTTGTGTCTTACTTCAGTGTGACCGATATTTTCGGGTTAAAATTCTTCAGGTTAAGTATCATCCTACATCAGTTTTCTATTAGCCTTAAACCTTGTAATCGAGTGTGAGCTAAACCTCAACTCTTAAAGATCCTTTAGGAAAGAGTTGGGTCCAATACTCCAATTTAATAAATTCTTACCTCCAGCGCCCCATGGAATTAAACAGCGGGAACAGTGAGCCATGTCGAATGCACGGGATGGATATGGCATTTTGATTGTTCCAAGTACCCCTATAACAGCAGGCACACCCCTTTCAAGGGCAAACTGAACCTGAGCTTCATGTGAGTCTCTTGGAGCAAAGGACATAGTTATAACATTTCTCTTCCAAAGATAAGCACCCCAACTCGCAACCTATCATATTTAATCGATAATGAAAAGCCAGTGTCAGAAATGTCCAGAGGAAAAAAGAATCAAGAGGTATATAGACTTTCAACATTATTAATGTGTAGTTACAAATGCATAATTTGTTAAGAGTACCACAATACATAAGTAAAGAGGATTGAATCTTTAATTTTACACTTAATACCCTGATCTAGTGTAATTCTGTTTTTGTCCTGAAACGATTTAAATCTATTTATTGGTCCGATCTGATCCAACCCCCACTTAACTCAATTCATACTAAATATAAGAACTAGTGCATGTTTGGTAGGCATAAATCCCTACCTTCTAAATATTGCTAATTACTACGTATATGTTTGGCACAACAAACTTTTAGTTTGTTTTAAAAAATAATTTAAGGTTTTTTTTGACAAGGTACACTGAGTAGCTTCTGAGAGAAAGTCTATACATTTTAGCAATAATTATTCATAACAACTTGTTATACCAATAGAAATTGCTCTAAATAAGAGAAAAAACGTGTTGAAATTCCAAAATAGGAGTATCATGTTTTTTATTCCCTTAATAGGAGTAATCTGCTAAGTTTGGAAAAAAATGTCATGTTTTAAACACTAGTAATACCAAACTTGGCAGAAATTACTCCTATTCAAGGAATAAAAAACATGATACACCTATTTTGGAATTTCAAAACTTTTTTACTCATATTTAGGGAATTCTCTCATATACCAAACAGAACTACATTAAACAATCAGCTTTTATCAAATAGCTATGAACTTTTTCTTTTAAGGTCATTACATTCACGGAAAGCCAACCGTTACTAAAAAGCTTACAAAAGTATCTTTTCACCTAGTTGTGACAAACCTACCCATAATAAAGAGGAATGAGTAAACATACCCCGCAACCAGTATCCAATGCAGTACGAACAGTGCCATCTTTAATTGGGATAACCGAAGCAATCTGATCAATGTACTTATCTGCTCCTTGAGGAAACTGGGTCCCACCTCCTGGAAACCTGAAAACGTCCCCTTCGTACTGAATCCAGTTCTGAATGGCCTTCTCCACTGTCAAGCTCTTGTAAGGTGCATTTGCATAAGGAACATAATCCCTACTCTTGGGCCATGGGAATGGAGTTACATACCCTTTAGGTGCAGGAACAAGACAATGCAGCTTCTTTTCTTGAGGAGGGCAGTGTCTTTCTCGGTAGACCATGTTGTCCCTAGGGTAAGTCATGGCCCGCTTTTGATCTTGGCAGGGTGTGTAATCAGTGTAGTGAGGATGACATGGCTTGAATTCTTTCACATTTGATTCGGAGACATGGATATTGCCAGGTAGACTGCCATGGTGGGTCTCAAAATTGAGACTAGGCAAGATGTTACAATCTTGACTGGTTTTAGTCACCTCCAATGCTATACTGTCTCCCTTTCCAACCCCGCTTCTTTGCCAGACTCCCAATAGATAGAAGAAACAACAGAGACCGGATACTATCAAAATTGACACGGAGGTCCTTGTTCTGCTCTCACCCGGAGTTGCTTTGTTTGCCATGGCATTCCTAACACACAAAAGAAAAAAGGAAAAAAGATGTTAGTTAGTTGCCAATGAGTTGTTATGAATCATACTACGTACATAACAAGATTTAAGAGGGAAAAACGAGTTCATACGGTTTTGGATTAGGCAAGCTTCTCCGTTCTGAATTATATCTGTCGAGTGACCCTGACCCAGTTATAAAATAGCACTGTTCTATAAACCATAAGATGACCTCTTGGTGGTAGAGGCCGGACTAACCCCCGGCTTAATCGAGCAGAAATGAGGAGTGAAAAAAATGCTGCCAATGTGGATCAAGAAAGCAAGAAACATTCACAGCTCTTATCAGTATCTCAATATATTCAGAACAATAAATATAAAAAGAAAAAATGCATCCTTTTAGTTGAGTTCTACAATATCCCTTTCCATGAGACAGGTGTTAGTGGTGCAATCATTAAACTGAGCTTTCACATCAAGATACGTTTTCCAACATAATAAAACTCACAAAGCTCATACAAGCAACAAGCGTAGTTGACAGCAACCCCTCAATTGACACATGAAGAGAGCGAAAAACTGAAATAAAAATTAGATATTACTGTAATTATATTGACATAAAACCTTCATTAAAAATAAAATGAGAATTTGAGTCAAAGTAGGCTATGGAAATCAAGGTTCATACAAATTTGCAGGCAATGAATCAAGAAAAATGACAACTTTGAGCTCTGCTAGTGCGAAGAAGTTTGAAAACAGGCAATGAATCAAGAAAATGACAGCCTTGAGCTCTGCTAGTGGGAAGAAGCTTGAAAAGTGCCCACAAAAAAAGAATTGCACTGTGCTGAAAACCCTAGCTGGGGGTGGGGGTTAAAATTTGGGTAAACTGTGTTGTACGTGAATCTTCCCGGTCTAACTCTTGGAGCTCTCGACGTGGTAAACTGGTGAAGGGTGAAATATTATTCGTTGTTTTCTTTCCTTCTTTCATGATGTAGCTGATCGTGATTAGCTCCCAATTAATCTCTTATGTTGCGTAAAAAGATCTAAAAAAAAGACATTTGTTTAATTCATAATTGCGCAGCAACTGCTACTTTTACATTACCGGGTTACTAAATGCTAAGTGCTAACCAAGCTGGTTCTATTTCAGCAGGAGGGTTTGAATCTGATTTTTAAAACTACAGAAGTTGGAGTGTTTAGTTTGAAGTGCAGAAATACTTCTGATGTCTTAATTTACTCCTAGAATTGAGTTTTTTAGAAGTCGGGAGAGACCCGCTTCTGAAAACTTATTCTGATCCTGCTTCTGCTTTAAAAAAGAAGCAGAATCGAAATCTGTTCCAAAAACCTCTTAAATATAATACACAAAGATTTTATATAACACAAATAAACAATATACACATAACAATAATGTAAATTTCAAATAAAAAATAATAATATAATACGTATCAATCCCACATATTACCGGTCTTCCATTATTAATCCCTCCCATGCATAATTCTAAATTAATACGTATTAAAGGGGTAACCTTCCACAAACACTCTATTAACCTGAAGAACCCATCTTAACCGGTAATTAAAGAATCACGTGACTCACACGTGATTATCCTCTCCCTCTTATCCCATAATCAGAGGCCAAGCCCAATCAACATCCATGCGCGATTCTTGCATCCCTGCGCGAGAGACGAGTGAAGAGAACGAATGGGGAGGGAATATCTTCAATTTCTTGAGTACTGAACAATAATGAATTCAGTGAGTGGTTCATCTTCTTGGACCTGCAACTCGAATAGAGAGGTTGTGCGTACTTGCCATCACAAGATAGAGCCGAAATTGTGAACGGTAAAGAGCGATCCAAACATTGGAAGAAAATTTTATGACTGCTCGCTATGGCCTGTAAGTATCTCTGCTTTATAAACTTTTCATTAGTTTTCATTGGATGAAAATATTAGTTTTAAATAAAAACATTAGGGTTTATAATTTTGAATGCTCTGAATTATATCAAAATTATATGCTCGCTATTATTGCTTTAAACATTAGGGTTTATGCAAAACATTGAATTGTTTAGTTTTAATGATGACTCTTTCTGTCATAAGTCATTTTCACTTGAAGTAATGCTAAACATTTTGAGTAGAATACAGATTGTAATGACAATTGATGGATAGTCTACCCGGGGGGTAGCTTATCCGAGGGGTTATTACGGGGAATAACTAGAGAGAAGTCAAAGCAAGTAAGTAGAGAGGGAGAGTATATTAGAAATGTATTCAGCGTTTTTAGCGTCTTGTGTCTTGGTTACAAATGGGGAAATGAGGTGCTATTTATAGTAGCAATAAATGTCAGTCAGGGACACGTGTCAAGCATTCATTGGCCGAGGGGTCACCTCAACTGGCTGGCGCTGGCAACCGCATGTGGCCGCATTAAATGCGGCTGTTGGATGTGACGTCGTACTTGGTACGGTGATCTATACGCATGTGGAGCGGATATCATGTCGGAAAAGGTGCCCTCGGCTGTAGAGGACTAGCCGAGGGTTCCGAGTACCGGGGACCTCCTTAGCGCCGAGGGCTCTAGGTGCCGAGGGCTACTGATTTTCGTCATTTTCTCCCAGTAACCTTGTTTTCCTGTGTTGACCCTCCTATGAGAATTAGGGCCTTCGGCCAGGGGGGTGAAGGCACCCCTGGTGCGCATTGTGGGCTGCCTGGTACCTTGGGCGCCGTGATTTGGGCCTGTTGTGCTTCCTGAGCCTATTGGGCCTTTATTGGAGTAGTAGGAGTCTGTGGGCCGGGGGTTCCCGGGCCATATACTCCATCAGGAGTCCCTCACTCCTTTTGCCGAAAGGTACTTGAGGAAAAAGGAGTAATTGTGTTTGTCCTCTGCCGTTGTTCCGTTGTGGTTTGTAGAGTTGTGGGTAGTTTGTTGTTTGTTTATTCTGGCGAGGGCAGTCCCTCAGTTACCCACATGTCGGGACTTGAGGGGGCATGTTTATGATTTTTGTGATTTTCCCGAGGGGGTCCTCCAGTCCCCCACTCCTTGAGGCACTTGCAAAGTGGTGAAAAGGAGTAGAGTAATCATGTTGCTGTATTGGGCCGAAGGCTGACGCTTTTCGTTTCATTTTGGGGGTATGCCTCGTTAAAAACCTCATTAGGAAAAACCCTGTGGGAAAAAATCCTAATGAGGGAAAAAGAGTGCACCGAATTCCCCAACGATGAATCGAAAACGTGAAGCCCTGGTTCGAAATGGAGTATAATGCTGATGCTGAAGGCTATCCTTGTTCTGAGGGCTCATGTGCTGATTAGCCGGAGGCTTGCTGTTGATATCCTGGGAGGTGCCGAAGGGGAGTCCCTCAATCTGGGGATCGAGGGCATAATGAATGCGGGTAGTAGTTGAAGTGTTACCGGGGTGTCCCCTGTTTGTTGATTAGTTGGTGAGGATGGTATCCGAGGGCTCCCGTTACATGTGTGCCGTAGGCTATCCGTCAATGAGGCGTACTCCCCGGGGGCTACCCGGTCCTCAAAAGTGCTGAGGGGGGATCCCCGAGGGGTGGGCCTGTCATGAAGCCGTGGGCTTCTGAAGGAGTGAGCCCGAAGGCATCTGTTATGTAGTGTGTGGGGCACAAACCGGGAGCGTCTCTGGGCAAGTGTACCCGGGGGCTCTTCTTGATGAAGTGGAGTGAAGTAAAAAGCCCGAAGGCTGGTTCCTTGGTTGATGAAGGAGTGGGCTGCTGAATTTAGCCGGAGGCTCCCAGAATATAGCCGTTGGGAATATAGCCGTTGGAATACCTAACGTCAAAATATAGCCATTGGGGGGGGGGGCTTCCACGTGGTGTGCGCTCGTTGGCTGCCCGTGGGCGTGTGTCACCGATTGGGCGAAACCACGGTTTGTAATGATGGCAGTTCAACCGGAGGCCCGGTTTCCAGGCCCAAGCCCGGATCCAGACGCCTATAAATACCCCATGGCCGGGCACCACTCCTCCTGTGCGATCATTTGTTAGCGAAGTTCTGCCGGATTTTTTTCTAGAGAGAGAAACACTGCCCTCGATCTAACTCCTGTTTTAAGGTCAGTCCCCACTTGTCCTTCTCCCTTCCTAGCTAGTTGTCTTAGCGGCCTTAGATTTTAGGAGTTGTAACTTAGAACACTTAGTGTTTCCGAGCCCTCGACCCAGTGGAAAGATGTCTTCCCAAAGTGACTCTCAGGACATATCGAGGGATCCCTCGATGGAAGAGGAGAGCTTCTCGGATGCGGGGTCCTCGAGCGAGCAACCCTCAGCCCAGGAGGATGTCGCGATGGCGATGGAGGTGCAGAAGGAGTTGGTGGCTGAAGTTGAAGCCGAGGGCTTCGAGCAAGAGGCGGAGGATGAAGAGCTTGCCCTCGCCGTACAGGTTGCAGATGAGGAGGAAGAGAAGGAGAGGATGAGGGTGACAGTGGCTGTCCTTCCCCCTCGAGGTGCTGGTGAGGCAGGGAGCTCTCGGCCCTTCAACCCGACGCCGATAAGAGTGGCCCCCGGGAAAAAACAGGAGAAGAAGAAAACTGCTCCCAAGAAGAAGTGTGTTGTTGCTGATCAAGGGAAGCCCATAGATGTGCCCGAAGGGTACTCCTGGCTGAATACTGCTGCCCTCGAGATAGGGTCGAAGGCTGACAGGGAAGATCTGTACGTGACTCAGCTGCACGTGGGGCCTTCCGTTGTGGTGGTGGTGCCAGGCCCTGATGATGTGCTTTCCTGGGCTCCCGAGGGTTGCATCGCCGTGCACATCCTGTCGGTATCAATGGGGCTCCGGTTCCCCCTGCACCCATTCCTTCGGGAATACCTTCGGTATGTGGGTTTGGTCCCCTGCCAGTTGACGCCTAACAGCCACTCCTACGTGGTGGGCTTCCTGAACCTCTGCCGGGCTCGAGGGGTGACCCCCAGCCTGTACTTGTTTTTTCAGAGCTTCAACCTCTGCCGAGGGGGTCACGCGAACGCCGAGGGCTTCGCCAATCTGCAACAGGTAGCCCGGTGGAAATTATTCACAGAAGCGCCCTCGTCCAACAAAGGCTGGAAGGAGCGGTGGTGCTATGTTAGGATTGCCGAGAGCCCCTTTCCGATGGAACTTCGGGATCGCTTCCGTCGGCATCCGAAGGTTGGGAATTCTGCTCTGGAGAAGGACGGCTTGATAATAGCCAAGATCCCGGAGGGTCGTACGAAGCAAGTGTCCATTAAGGACTTTACTGCTGACAAGGAGCTTTTCGCCCTCGGCTTCCACAGATATCGCTTCCTCGGTGAGACAGACGAGAAATACTCTGTGTTGGCAGGAGGTAGTATCCAGAAGAAGGACCCCTCGGTCCAACCGCCTGTGGAAGCCTTCTTTCAGAGGGAGACTCCGGAGCCCTCTGCTGCGGAGGGAGTTACCGGGGTGGCCGAGGGGGCCACCAAAAAGAAAAAGGGGAGCAAGGCGGTTGAGCCCCCTGCTAAGAAGCAGAGGGGTACAGGGGGCACTGTCGGCCAGGATGCCCCTTGGTGATCATTGAGGATCGCCCTTCTCCGGATCCCCCGGTTGGTGCTGCGACGACCGCTCGACCCGATCTTCCCTTGGGAAGCCTCCCCCGGGAGATTCTGCAGCTTTCTTTGGCCCCGGGGGCTTCTGTGCTACGCGGCTCAGCAGAGCCGAAGGCCTTCCTGAGGGGGATGACCTCGGCGATGGACAAGGCTGCCCTCTCGACTTATGATGATGCGTCCCTCGAGAACAAGATCCTTCGATCTTCGTTAGCTGTAAGTTTCTTCCTTAGCTCTTGTGTTTAACCTTTAATGCTCTTTCCATACTAATTTGACCCCTCCTCCTGTTGTTTATCAGGCTTGTGTAGCCCTCGGGGAGCATGCACAGAGGCTCGAGCAATGGCGCCTCCAGTAAGCGAAGCAGGATCGGGAGATGAAGGAGCTCATCCTGAAGAACTCTGATGCTGTAAAGCAGATGGCCTTGCTGGAGGAAGATCTCCGGAAAGCTGCCGAGGGCGCTGAGCTGAAGGCCAAGGCTGCCGTGGAGGAGGCCAGGC